TGTTTCTATTTGACACACCTGATTCAGATGATTGCAGTTCATCAAAAGCCTGCTAATTAGTTACCAAACGAAACCAGCTGTGTTGAAGCAGGAAAAAAAACAATATAGTTTTCTCATTTTTACAAGATAGTTTTCTCATTTTTACAAGATAGTTTTCTCATTTTTACAAGACAGTTTTCTCGTTATAATGAGATAGTTTTCTCATTATAACGAGATCCAGTTTCAAAATAATTTCATGTCATGTGGCAGCTCGACGCTTCCGTATCATGCCTTGTTTCACAAGAAACAACTAAAACTTAACTTGCCTCCATTTCGTCTAAACCAATCAATGGCATATCTTTCCGCAAAGCTGTCAGAATGTTTAAAATATAGTCCCTAGTTTAAATTAGAAAAAAATTAATGCATCTTTAAATAACATTTAAAGTCTTTATACAATCCCAGTGGACTTTGGTACAGAGCCATAATAGGGACGGCAGCAGCTCTATGGTGCAAATGACTTGCAAACAAAGAAGGGTAATATAAAGTAAAAAGCTTATTCCATATACCTTTATGACAAACTGACAAAAATATTTCAGCTTCTCTACTAATGGACTCCAAAGGCCAATAGGCTTATAACCTATTTGTCCAATTGCCCAGCTTTAATAAAGCAGTTTAAATGAAACTCCCTGTTACTTCTGGACAGGAGTGAAGATTGTAGCAGCAGAACTGGTGGCTTCCACTGGCATTAGAAACAGTGGTGGACAAAGTATTCAACTCTAGTACTTGCATAAAAGTATTGATACTCATGGTCAATTCTACGCAACTACAAGTAAAAGTTACTCGGTCAAAAATTTACTCAAGTTAAAGTACTGAAGTACTTACTTTTGAAAATACTTAAGTATTCAAAAGGAGTCAGTCTAAACTTGCTTTGACCAGGACTAACACTCCATTATTATTTCTCCTGAAGCTWGGAGRATTGAAAAACYGAAAAACATTTRTATTTATGCAAACAGTTTTRCCTTTTTCTGATTTAAAAAGTATTGAAATTAAAAACTTTGGACTACTGAAAAATGCTATATCTTTGAAACTAAACAACTCAGATGTTTGAGATGCAACAAAACTTCTCAAATGGACAATCTGATTTTGTTGTAAAAATAAAGAAAAAAAAAGACAGGAACCTCAGCTTTAATCTTAAAAAAGCCATTTTATCCTGAAAGTCAATTACCGGTATTTTATTTGTATTGTTGATCCTAATGATTTTGTCTAAAGCTGAAAGTTTTAGAGCTGTATTAGTTGCATTTTGTTTCATTTCCTTTGGCCACTTGGCTGTTATGTACTAAAAAGTTGTCAGCAGTGCAGGTTATTCTGTCTGGAGACAGGTTTCCTCTGGGGCATGTCTGCTTCTATGTGGTTGCTTAAGGCCTGCTTCAAAGTCTGAGCAACGATAAAAGCTTGCCGGATGGAAGGGTAGAGGAGGGGGGGAAGGAGAATATGTTATTTGTCATTGCTTGTTAAAAACAAACCCGTTGAAGATCACTGAAGATCCCACGCTTTGAAAACTAAGACCTCTGGCCTTGAACAAAACAAGTAAGCCAATGAGACACCCCTAATCATGAGAGTCCTCTCACCCTCAACTCATCTCCTTTCAGATGGTGACTGATGCATGGATATCATGCCATCCATTAGGAAGCTTTCCTCAGGGCGTTTTGCCATCACGTTAAGGGTCAAAGCAGCTCTCAAAACACCATCTTCATAAATTCGTGGCRTCAWWGGAATGTCCTCGACACTTAGAAATGTTTCTTCATCTGTAGGCATGCTGCCCTCTGGGTTACAAGAGAAGTGGAGATGTCCAGTCGCAGCAGGGAAGAGCATTACTGTATATGTACTGAAAGGCCGTTAAAACACAGCAGCAACCTGGAAATATATTGTTGAGAATACRAGAGAGGAAACRATGTAAATTAKAGATAAGTGCTATTCAAAAAGCAGCCCCTGAAATCAATGAAAATTACTTTTAGGGACATTATCTTGGTTTGACTTTATATGTCAGTTAAAAGGCAATTTTCATTAGCTTGTGGATGGGGTGCAAAAAAACCTTGTTTTGTCAGTCTGCAGAAGCATTTGATGTTCCAGGCATGAACATACAGATGGGAGTATTTTCATTAAAACGCTAGTTATTGATTTCTTAAACAAACTTTTTTCATTTTTACTGCCAGACATTAATTTTGGTGTACTTCAGGATGAACACAAATAACTGCTGCTTAATGAAATCCTCATTAGCTTTAGCTCTGTGCAGCAATGACTTGTATAAGTAATTAATGACAGTTATCACTGTCGCTGCTCGATCTGTTCTGGATGCACAATTCATACCGTCAACTCTTTGGTGCATGCACTAAAAGAAATACTTCTGGATTACCGGTTAATGTGCTCAAATTAGGAAAAAATACTGGAAATAATCAATTCCATACTTAATAATAAAGGTGAGCCAAATTATAATCTTTAAATGGTTTAAATATGATATGTCTGATATACATTCCGATAAAAAGAAAATATAGATTTACCATCTGTACGTATATATTAATATTATCTCACAGACCTAAGTGGACCTATTTCCCTAGGCAATGTTAGAATTAATCTCATCTCTGTTTTTTCCCCCACTGGAATAAAAATCCGCATCTGTTGCAAAGTTCCCTTTTCTATGAAACAAAAAAAAAAAAGAAGAAGCAGAAGAAAAAATAGAACACTGTTTGTCACTGATTGGCTAAATTTTTGCAAATGTTTAAAATTTTAAAAGTTATTCATCAAATGTATTTCCATCTCTCATTTTTGCCCATTAATTTTTTATTCAAAATACCTAAAAACCACCAACACCAACCGCCCAAAACACACCGATTGGAACCGGACTGGAACATCAGTGGAAAACCAACCGGTCCGACCCGTACCTACACCGACCGTTCCGATACTACACTAAGTGGCACCAGTGGAAAAGGGGCATTAGACTGTGTCTTAGTTAAAAAATGAAGTCACTCAGCCTTCCTAAAGTACAGGTCCTTCTCAAAAAATTTGCATATTGTGATAAAGTTCATTGTTTTCTGTAAGGTACTGATAAACATTAAACTTTCATATATTTTAGATTCATTGCACACCAACTGAAGTAGTTCAAGCCTTTTATTGTATTAAAATTGATGATTTTGGCCAAAAAGTAAAGAAAAACCAAAAATCCCTATCTCTAAAAATTTGCATATCATGAAAAGTTTCTCTAAACGACTTATTAACCTAATCATCTGAATCAACAAATTAACTCTAAACACCTGCAAAAGATTCCTGAGGCTTTTAAAAACTCCCAGCCTTGTTCATTACTCAAAACCACAATCATGGGTCAGACTGCTGACCTGACTGCTGTCCAGAAGGCCATCATTGAYAYCCTCAAGCAAGAGGGTAAGAYACAGAAAGACATTTCTGAACGAATAGGCTGTTCCCAGAGTGCTGTATCAAGGCACCTC